GTTTACAAAAACTCACAAGTGAGTTTTTGGAATTAGGGTATTGCAAAAATGTTCTCAGAGCATTGTCGGTTAGGAAAGACTACAAAGTGTTGCACCAAAAAAAAAAAATGTGGCTGTCTTTGTAATTTCAAACTTAAACCGAAGTTATGGTGGTTTAAAGTTAAAGCAGTGTCAAAACCGGAGTGTTAAGAAGACGCTATCTAAAGTTCAAGCACAAGGTGCACATAGGATAGCTGAAGGATGTATGGATACTATTTTAATTAATCTGTTTAGTTTGATTTTTAAAGTTTATCTAAAAAATTGATTAATTCTACTATTAACGATAGTATACTTCTGTTTAGGTGTTAACAAATGCAGGTAAAGACTTCAGTTTTAATTTTATTTTAGTCAGAATTAAAAGTAGTCATTAAGGCTACAAAATTTAAAATCTCGCCTCATACCACTCTTCCTCTCTGCTCCCAAGTGCCTTATATATTTAATGGACGGTGCTTATATACTTTTTGCTTTTTTGGTGCATTTGTTAAAATATTTCAACAATTGAGAGCTTTACATTGAACTTTCAACTGGTAGATTTTTAGCGCTCTCATCTATAAATAAGAGGATTATTTCGGAGACTAAGACCGTCTGAAAGCTGCATTAGATTAATTTTTCACCTTGAGTCTTAATTTCGCCCTTTTTGAGGCCTGTTGCACCAGCTTAATCAAATCAGATCCGTTCCGAGCGACTACATTTTTGATGAGCGTCTTCGAGTTTGATTACGAAAATTGTATGAATTAGTAAGAGAGTCGGATCACGGTCCCGCCAAATTTAATTACGATCATTTCTTCCGGCTGAGAAGCGATCCGTCATAAACAAGGTCGCCAGCTCGCGAATATGTACTAAAACCGTCGGAGCATAGCAAGGCTCTGGACGTATTGTTCGATCAGGCAACACTGATAGTTAGATATTGCGTTTATTCGCGAGGAAGTTTTGCAGCGGTTCCAGATGAGAAAGACGGAAAGTTAGTTGAAAGGGCAAGATTTTCTGGCCCAATTTTCAGAGGGTTGCAGCTCCTTTTGTTCTCCTGTTTTTAAGTCCTGCGTTTTTTTTATACATTCACAGGGAACGAAGTAATGAATTTATGTGGGAAAAAAATTCGAGCCATTGGAAACACCAAAGTTTCTGGTCCAGGTAACGGAAAAGTGCAACTGATGGTTGATGATCAATGATGATTGATGAACAAATTGCTGAGCAGAAAGTACTGATGGATGTCGGAATGCGCACTTGGCCGTGCTCATTTTTACAAGGTCGCTAATTCATTTGCTCAACTCTTTGTTCATCGGTCATCATCTGGCGAATTTCGGTGTTGACTTCCAAAAGTAACTTTTACACTATACAGGGTGATCCAAAAGTCCCTTCCACCCCCTCTAAATTTTTACCTAATTAAGGTAAAGATTTGAAACTTGGGGGATATTCCTAGGTCAAAGGGAGCTACTTTTTGGCCCCCCTAAAATTTTCAGGGGGCCCCCCTTGGGGGGGCAACGGCCCCCAACTTTTAATTTTCAAATGGGAAGACCCCCTTTGTGATAGCTCGTTCAAAAGAGCATAAAAAAAGAAAACTTTTCGCGCAAACCCGAGGTCAATATCTCAAACCGTTTCAAAATGGCGGCCGGTTAAAGTTCAAAATGGCCGAAAATTCACACCGGTTATTTATCGATGGATTTGCGCGAAAATCGGTATGTTGGGGTATTTTGACACGAGAAAAACGAATTTGACGTTAGCTTTTCAAAAAAACCAAAATTTCCAAAATGGCCGCCGGTTAAGGTTTAAATTGGCCGAAAATTGTCACCTCGGTTTTTTCCTGATGGATTTGCCTAAAACTTGGAATTTGAGAGTATTTTGGCATAAGATAAACAAATCTGAACTTAGATTTCTAAAAAAATCAATTTTTGGTCATTTTGAACTTTAACTGGCGGCCATTTTGGAAATTTTGGTTTTTTTGAAAAGCTAACGTCAAATTCGTTTTTCTCGTGTCAAAATACCCCAACATACCGATTTTCGCGCAAATCCATCGATAAATAACCGGTGTGAATTTTCGGCCATTTTGAACTTTAACCGGCCGCCATTTTGAAACGGTTTGAGATATTGACCTCGGGTTTGCGCGAAAAGTTTTCTTTTTTTATGCTCTTTCGAACGAGCTATCACAAAGGGGGTCTTCCCATTTGAAAATTAAAAGTTGGGGCCGTTGCCCCCCCAAGGGGGGCCCCCTGAAAATTTTAGGGGGGCCAAAAAGTAGCTCCCTTTGACCTAGGAATATCCCCCAAGTTTCAAATCTTTACCTTAATTAGGTAAAAATTTAGAGGGGGTGGAAGGGACTTTTGGATCACCCTGTAGAGAGAATGGTGGTGCGGTGTTTCTGAAATATACTTTCTCTGTTCACGGTGAGCTCGTAGAATTTTCATAGCCGGAAATCGTTAATTAACAGCGTCCGTTAGTCCCACCAGCTGGATCGTGAATTCCTGTAAGCCAGTTTCCCGCTTACAAAACCTGAAGATTCCGGCAACGTAGAAATCTCGTGGCGATCTCGCGATCCGAGAAATAACAATAAAATGGACAGGTGCTCTTTACGAACGACCAATTCATTTTTGAAGATTATTCCGGCTCCAAACCGACTATCATGGGAGGCGCGTCTGTTGCCACATTAAAATTTACGATTCCGCCACAACTCCTCCATCGGACGCTGCTGTCCGCGCGTTGCCAAACCATCTAAGAGCCATCCTCTACTTCGGCATAACGGCAAAATCAGTGGTGACGAACCCAACCGGCAACTATGTCCTTCTTACTCACCTTCAACGTATAAGTAGGAGAGGGACAGAAGATATTATTTCGTTCACTCTCATCCTTTAATAACCCGCTGCTTCAAACGTTTACGAAAAGAGACGCAAGGTGCTTTGGGTGCTTCAAGTTAGGACGAAAGGCATGGTTTGTACATGGTCAGAAAACCAGCCATAATTTCGTGAAAACCGGTAATTTCCAAGGTTGATTTGGCAACGTACGGTGAGCCCTAGCTGCGTTCTAACGGCGATTTGTGGGGGGCATTAAACTTTACGACAATTTGGTTAGTGAGGTAGGAATCCTCTCTTTCAAGCGCTCTCTGGTGAAATGCTCACAAGGGTGCTCAATCTAAAAAAGAGCTGCACTCAGCGAGGGGATCGCCTTCGCCTATACTTGAATGAAAATTGCAGAGTTTTAATTCTCCCAGAACGGATGTTGTAATGTGAGAATGGCTGCGACTTGAGAATAGACAAGTAGACACTTCAGAGTTAGGTGAGCTTATATCGACCGAGTTAAGGGACACGAAACGAAGCCAGTGAGGACAGAAGCACATACTGAAACGCATTAAAATGTCCTACATTAATGACCGCAGCAGAAAAATGCGTATCTCGCGCTGTATCGGTAACCCTGTGTTACCGAGTTTTACAAAAATCGATCCAACATGAGACGAGGTATCGTTTACTAACCAGACCTCCGATTAAGTGTTGAAAATTCACGGAGAATTTGAGAAAAACAATTTGACGAATGCCCATTAAAAAAATAATACCAGAACGAAATTTTGTCTTTTCAGTGATTGAATGCGTCCGAGTTTTACGTGTCTTTGACCCAACACAAAGCTCGGGAACCGACCACAACAGAGTGAGGTTAGGTCAAGTTAGGTCACGCAACTAAACTAACTCTCAGGCAAAGCTGGAAGTATTACTCGAATTGAAGGCGCCCCAATCCTGAATTTGTACACACTATTCCTACAACTTCGATCAATAGAACTTTCGAAGCTCTTTAGTAGAAAAATGCGTATCTCGAATTACCATGTCTCACATGTCCCTCTCTTTTTTTTAAAAGAGGAAACAAATCTTCGCTTGGCTGACATAGAGATGTCGCATAATGAATGTTTTAAGTAGCATTTTACCTGGTGCTCCATTTTTTACAGTTAAATAACAAAGTGCAGTAATTAGTTTCGAACCCCTGAGTCAAAAAGCAACTCTCGTTTTTTCCTATCACCCACCAGTTTTTTTTTGTGATATTCAATTTTTCCGAGTAAATGCTGCGAACATATTCTTTCCGCTTTCAAAAAACATGGTCAAGAGGCTCTCAAACCGTAGAGGGATTTTTTAGTGTATTTGATGCCGCAGAATTCCAAAATGACCATAGTTTTTTTTTTCATTTTTCTCAATTTTTTTTAGGAAAACTGTTTTCCCTCTAATACATCTATCGTGGGGAGTATATAGCTATTTTGAAGAATTTTTTTTTCTGGAAAACGAGAGGGCGATTAAACTAATTCGAGGTCATTTTTGGAATCAACAGCAGCTCAAAATACATGTGATGTAGTTTTCCGCAGCGTCTTGCCGGAAAAATGTGTCATCCCGGATAACTGGTGAGTGATAGGCACAAACGGAAGACATTATAATAGACTCGTAGTATCATAATGCGTCGGAATCACCTTCTTCAAAGTCTTAAGCATGCTTTATCTTTTGTCATGTTGCAATGCGGATCGCATTCAGCAAGAAGGAACCAGCGCGATCACAGTGCCGTAAAAATGTTACTCTTTCTTATAATCATCTAAAAAATCTCCCAGAACAGTAATTAGTTTTGGCTTCCCACTAAAAAAGTTTTAATTTTAAAGGGAAATAACTGTGTAAATTTTAATACTGTACTTATACAAGTATTTCCAAAAGAAAAGGAGAAGTTGCATGATTTTGAAAACACTGCGTAATTGCAATGATTCATTTTTTCTTAATGCGATCCATGTGTTATCCATGAAAATAGTGATTGTGTAAAGGAACCTACGAACGGAAATTCGTGACTCCATAGTTGTACCATCGATATTCGTCGAATGTGTCGCGGTAGCGTGGTCTAACTCGGCGTCCCGGTGGAAAAATGGAATATGAACTCATCTAGACTGTTGGTGTTTTTGGCGTGGCTGTTGCGAGCGGGATTAACAGAGGCGTGTTATGTGTTTCCCTCAGAAGTGGCGGACCCGTGCCAGGACTTCTCGTGCCCGTTCGGGGCCAAGTGCACGCGCTCCAAGGAGGGCAACTCCCCGGTCTGCCTCTGCCCGGAGCACTGCCCCTCCTATGGCGACCACGTCGGCTCCAGGCCCATCTGCGGGAGCGATGGCAACGACTACACCCACCATTGCGAACTCACCAAGGCCGCCTGCGTCCACAAACTCAACATCACCATCAAGTACTCTGGCAAATGTGGTGAGTTCTTTTTCTAATAAATGCATATAGTTTTGAGCATAAGTGGACGTATTTAAATCAAAAGGATCAATCTTCATCGTGACCTGCAGGCTAATTTTTGAAATTGATAGACAAAGCGATAAACAAAGAAGACATAATGAGCATGGAGCGATTCTATTGGTTGAAATGGTGGTTCTTGTAGACTAAGGGAGGAAATGATGCCCTAACTAGAGAGTTCAGGGTGTCTACAAGTCCGGATTTTCCGGAAAATCCGGAAATAGTACTGATTTCTTAAGGGCGGTCCGGAAATATTGAAGAAGTGCGAAATTTCCGCAAGAAGGTCCGGAATTTTGTTTCATTTTTTTGTCACTTTTGTGCAACTTGGAAAAAATTCAAACTTTTGCAATTTTTCAAGTTGTGTCAAGTGGAGGTATTGAATCATACTGAATTTATCTGTTGAGGAGGCACTGAATTTTTTGGGAATGTTCCGAAAAAGTACTGTAAAAGTACTGATTTTTGGCCAGCCTGGTTTAGTAGACACCCTAGGGTCTCTCGTGGGTTGTCGTTAGTTAGTCTGTTGGCCATCTTCTTTGTTCATTGCAACCACTAACTGCCACCAATAGGATCTCTGTATATCCTTCTTGTCTTTTTTGAGGTACCTTATTCGTGTTTATATTTCCGTTATTTGTTCCTTCTGCTGATCTCCCCAAATGACGCCCCTGCAAGAGTCAGTTAAACTTCCGGCTCCGAAGAAACCGAAAAACGGCGAATCAACGCCGCAAAAAATAGGGTGGAGGAGGGGGGCGCAGTTAAGGGCAAGGTGTCAAACGAGACCAGGAAATGGATTAGACCCATTAAATTGATTACCGGAGCTTAAATACGGAAGGGTTCAACTCATATTGATTATTAGTCGAGCTCACTCGAAAAGAGAGGCACAAAAACTGAAGTGGCTCCCGAATAAACTCCGCGCCTCCGACTTTGTTCGCTATGCCCCCTCCCCTTTCTAACTCATTCAGCCCCTCCCCCCCCTGCCCTGCCCCACCCACAGTCCCTACTCCCGAGTCCTTTAGTATCACTCAACTCCAAACATCAATTAAAGCGCCGATTTAATTCAGAACCTCATTCACATGAAACTGTTTTTATTTAGAGGAAAAACGCTTGGGAGAGAGGGAAAAAATTCGGCCGAAACTAGGGAATCGCTGGAAATTAGATGGGGCGGAATTAGATGCCCCACCCCCTTTGCCGCCCCCGCCGGCGGCTTGACTTAATGCTGTTCTGCGTCTGTTGTTTTAATGAATCGAAACAAACGCCGGAACATATTAACCGGGCTTATGAGCAGTGGCGTGGCGTGCGTTGCGATATATCGATTGTTCTGCCGTTTAAACCTATGGAAAAGGATCGATAAACAGGTTGTTCGTAGCGAACCCCTTAATAATCGATTCTGTACCATAGGTTTAAATGGCAGAGCAATCGATACATTGCAATTCACGCCACGCCACTGCTTATGAGGTCTGCTTTTCTTCCCCAAAAACGCCGGGCGACCTGCGCCCGGCCCGATGAATCGACCATCGTTCGTATTTAAACGAGTTTTAATTACTTGTGTCTGGTCTCGCATGGTCGGGCGCTTTGTTTTATTAACATCTCTCGGTGTCAGGAGTGAATAGTTCCGGTTGCACGTTGTGAACTCTGAGTCGCGGACCTCAAAAAGCAGACAAATAAAACAATCTTCATAGGTTTATCAAGGACTTCCTCCTCGACGGAAGCTGGTGAGGACATGAGTGGCTTAAAATTTTAGGCGTGATCCTCAAAATCAGAAAAATAAGACAAAATTCAGACTCAAAGGCATGCCGGGTTCCTTGCCACCGCCAGGCAAAAAGTTTAAAAAATTAAAGCAGTTACAAATTTTCGCAGTTCTACCTCAGATTTTAACCTGGGCCCAGAGGCGACGGGATATTAGCTTCGAATATGATGTCAAGGACATTTATTAGACACGTAACCTACTTGATTATGATCAACCGTCACCTTTGGGCCTAAGTTCAAAATCGAACTTTTCTAACTTCCTCGTGCGACATAGCTGAAAATCCACGTTTTTTGCAGTTCTACAGCAGATTCCGACCTGGGCCCAAAAATTACATGTCATGAGCCTCAAATATAATGTGAGGGACACCCAGGCATAGGGGAAAATCAGTGAATGGAACTTTGTTCGTCGTATATTTGCCTTTATTGTTGAAAATATTTACTTCAAAATCTAATTCAGATTCCCTTGATACACACATGTATCTATTTCTTGCGGATCCGATTTTTTTTTTTTGAAAAATATCTCGAATGATGTTTATAATTTTACGTGTTTGGAAACGAGAGCGTGATGCGGGACGACCCGCCGGATTCACCTGCATGATATTTGACGGAATGATAAGAGATTCACAGAGAGTTCGAGCTACTTGTCCGAGATATATCCAACAAGAGCTAAAGGAGTGTAAGCTGGACAAGCTGCAACTCACAAATTGGAAAACTCGCCCAAACTCAGTTAAACTTGTCCAAACGCAGCGCTAAAATAAGTTTCCTCAAGCTTTAAGTCAAGTTAAAATTTACACAAACATGAGGGAGATCGTGTTTATTCACCGTCCTTTCCCCCGCCAACTGCAGTTAAGAGTTCCTACGGACTTAAATAGCAAGTGCATCCAGTGCTCTTCAGGTCTATAGTATGCGACGCTTCAACATATTTTTTGCATTTTTGCGCCTTTTTTACTTTCTTTTACAATTTTTATAGTAATAAAGTTACAGATAAAAGTGGTGTCATCTCAAAATGAAGTTGAAATTGAAAGTCCTTTTTTGTAAGCTTACGCCAATCCTCCAAAGCGCTTCGCGCCTGAAGCGTTACCTGTGTGTCACGTGTTACCCATATGATTTTATATTATAGCGTAAGGTCTGTAATAGGCAAGCATTGTAAAGTCAGATTAAAATCGTGATCTTTTCAAGATTTTCTCGTGTAATGTCCATGAAAAAGGGTCTCCTATAGTTCCTCTTCCGATGACCATGGAGAATGAATCACGGTCACGCCGAAAAAGAGGGTGGGGAAGAAGAGCGAACAATTTGAAATAACCAATAAGTACAACTCTCATCGAAAACACACTCAAAAAAAAAAAAAAAAAAAAAAAAAAAAAAAAAAAAAAAAAGAATATAGTACCTAGTTTCAACACATCGGTATTGAAGAGCGTGCCCATATTAATGTCTAAATTGTCACCTGAGGGTACAAATCGATTTTGAAGAATGAACAGAAACTAAATACATTTGTTGATTTCAAGGATACATACTTTTTGAAAAAACAATGTAGCTTTTCAGGCCACGCCGTCATCTTTGTATTTTGGAATTTTCGAAATTTGAGTCTCCCGTCAACAAAAACCTCCACATACCGAGTTTCATACAAATCGATCGAACAAGGGCCGAGATTGCATTTCAGGCTACGTCCGCCATCTTGAATTTTGAAATTTTGACTAAAAATTCGAGTTTTTAGTCAACAAACACCTCATAATTCCGAGTTTTACGAAAATCGATTCAACATGAGACGAGGTATCGTTTACCAACCCTATCTGCAAAGTGTTAAAAATTCACGGAGAGTTTCGAGAAAAACAATTAGACGCGTGTAAATATAAAAAAATAATACATAAAATATAAACCCAGAACGAAATTTTGTCTTTTCAGTAATTGAATACGTCCGAGTTTTATGTGACGTGTCTCTGATCGGTCACAGAGCTCGAGAACCGATCGCAACAGAGTGAGGTTGGGTCAAGTTAGGTCACGCAACTAAACTAACTCTCCGGCAAAGCTGGAAGTATCCTTCGAATTGAAGGCGCCCCAATCCTGAGTTCGTACACACTATTCCTACAATTTCGGTCAATAGAACTTTCGAAGCTTCTTATCGCTTTCAGTACACTATAGGCTACCATTTCGCGAAAATGCGGTTATGGATAATTTGATGTTGTCAAATTTCTTTTGTCTTTACTTTAAATTGAAGCGCTGGGTGCAGAAAGAGCATTTCTTGGTTTCGGTGTCTTAGAATCTCCACTAATTTTGCATCCAATTTAATTAAAGGAAATGAATGGAATTCTTTGAAACTTTTAATGAATTTTCCTTATGATTTTAAAGCTGAAAACGAAAAATTTCAGAAATCTGACTGAATAGTTTTCTCTCTGAGATATAAATTAACAGTGAGGATTTTGAGCCACCGCAACCAAGAAATACCCCTTCTGCACCCAGCGTCTCAATTACTAAAACATATCCCTAAAAATTGCTCTGTCCGTTGAATTATGTGTTCAGTCCCCCAAAATGCCAATATCATCGTGAAAAAATTGGTGACTCTTTTTGCATTGAGTTTACTTCGATTTTATAGATCCTTGTGCTGGAGTGGTGTGCCCGGAACCAGAACTATGCCAACTGGACGCAGATAGGAACCCGGTTTGCAAATGCGGAGAGGCATGTCCACTTGAGTTCGCCCCCGTGTGTGGCTCTGATGGCAAGACCTACGGCAACGATTGCAACCTACGATTGGAGGCCTGTAGATCGAAGAAAAACCTGCGAATCATTTATCGAGGCAAATGCAGCTCAGGTAAGCTTTCATCGTTAGTACTAGGCACAGTTGAACCCAAGGAAGTAGGTCCTTGTCCGGAGTCTTAGCGCGAGGGTAACTCTTGTACCTCATTTTGCAATATAAAACTATCTCTGCTTCATTAAAGAAACGACGCATATACTACTAGTTTCTTTCTGGGGATAGGTCCTTTTTTGGATGAGTTAGAAATAGTGGCTCTTTATTGCAAAAAGTAGTCTATTTTTCTCCCGAGAGGGAGAAAAATAGACTTATTTTTCCCCGGAATGGGACGCCTAGTGAAAGGGTGGCGACAGGGGATTTTAGAACAAATGAGGGTTTGTCAACTCCCTGAAGGGCTTTGGGAGGATAGGGGACTTTGGCGGCTAGGGGTCGCAGAGCGCCAAAGAGCGCTATAAAAGCGACTTTATACATACATAGTCTATTTTTGCAAAAATTGTAGGTACTTGCAAGAATGTCCACTTTTACAATGTTTCACACCGGTATTTATCAGAAAAATCTCTAACGGCGGAAAATTAGTCATAAATGGAGATAAAATTTATTCAGGTTTTCGGCCAAAAATGTAGAGTTTATATCCAGAGTTTGATTGGCATAATGTCAAAATGAAATCTTTCTGGCAATTTCTTAATGTGGTCAATTTTGATTTTGAAGCATTTCTCGCCATCTTTCAAGCGGTCCTCGTCACGCTCTTCAGCTGAAGAAAAAATAATTTATCATGAAAAATGCAATGTAAAGCTGCTCTTCAGTAGCACTCTCGAAGCGGGAATAATTTCTTTACGAATGAGAACGCTAACAAGCAATTCCCAGCAAGTTCTTTTTTTATTTTTCTTTAACGAGTTGCCATATGCTTACTGTTCCTCTGCGAAGGTCTTGCTCCTTCTGAAATAATTAGGAGCCCTAAACTTTCGTCGCGAAAATTTTCGATCTCTTTTTTTCGTGCTTCCCTAATTGCAAGCAGTCTCTGCCTATAAAAGGGTGTAAAAAAATCTCGCGGAGAAACTTCTCGCTCATTTCCGCAATCCGATTTGTTCTAAACTATCGCAGCTGTCGTCTCTCGAAGTCCCTTCAAGGTAGTCACACGCATCATCTTAATTATCTCCCGTGATAAAATTTAGCGCGCAACTTGATAAAAGTTTGCCAATTTAAGTTGCGATGGAATAAAAAAAGAAACAATCTCCTCCCTCACTCCGTTTTCCGGTGGATCTTGACAGAAGTTTTAAATCAGACACGAAGAGAAAAACGCGAAACACCCAGAGCAACAATTGAAATTTCTCCATATGAAACTTCCGGTGGACTTTTTAACAACTTTATCATAGATTTAACGAAGAAGTTCCTCGGAGCCCTCCTAACGCCAGGACCGAGAAGTACGGAGGATATTTTTATATTTTTCCGCGCAAACTTTTCAATATTCTGTTCCGAACTTGTGCTTGCACTCTAAAGAAAGGCAGAAGTTGGAGATGTAGCTGGAAATTTGCGTCTCTTTGTTTGCAACCCTGGTCTGATTGGCTCGCCTTTTCCGATAGAAAAAAAATTCTTACTCGTTCAATGTTTCGACACACAGGAATTCTCGCCTTCCCTGCATTTTATTGTCATTTCCAACTTCTGTTCAACGTAGAAATATGGCATTTGGAAAAAACTGTCCTTCTTTGAAAAAAAAGAAGCTTCGCGTTAATCGTCTGGCCGTCGGAGGTTATCAGAATTTGTGCTACGCTGGCAATACCGCCATACTACTTCAAAGTAAAACATGCGTACGTTCAATATAAAACAGACACTGGAGGGAAAATGAAACAAAAATGATACAAAATTAGCAATGAAAAGCCAAGTTTTGCGGAAATTAAAATATAATTCTAGAGGGTTTAGATTTTTGATTTTTCCATCGACTGACCTTGAGCATTATGTGTTGTTTTTTTAGTTATTTTGAATACCCCTCAGGAGTAATCCCGCGCTTGCAAATAAAGCCCTATCTCTAATCAACACGCAGCCCTAGGCAACCGTTTCATGGAACTATCAAACTCGGATCGCCTGACTGGGAATCGAACCCGAGACCCTCTAATCATGGAGCCAGCACCGCACCACTACTACACCATAGCTCGTAAAATAAAATTAAAAATCATGAACTTTTGTCCAAAGTATATTGAGCAGGCTTTTATACTCTCCTTTGATTATTCCGTCGCTGCACATGTTGTTTTTACATCATTGTTATTTTTTAATTTTTTTTTTAAATCGCAGGAGTGAACCCTTGTGCATCCGTGCGGTGCACTTTCGGCGAGGAGTGTGTGATCAACAAATTTGGCATCGCCCAATGCGAGTGCATCTCGAATTGTGACCCGATCCTGAGGCCCGTCTGCGGCACCAATGGCCGAACCTACGACACTGCCTGCCACCTTCAGCAGTCTACTTGTCAAGCTAAAACCGACGTCAAGCTTGCCTACGCCGGAATTTGTGGTGAGTCGAGTCAATCAATAATCACATTATAAATCGGCGGTGAAAGTCGGCAATCACATAACTCGTTTGCGGTGTCTGAAAGTCTCCGCCTCTACGTCATTTTTTTAAAGGAGAGCAAAATGACATTATTTCCTGAAGTTTTTGCAGAATTTTCTTCGCATTGAGAAAAAAAATCATGACAGTTTTAAAGAATTGCCGTTGAGTAGTTTTCCATTTAAAAAATAAAGTATGACAGGAAGTCTGCGACGTCGCAAACCGAGTTATGTGATTGCCGACTTACACCGTCGAAATACTCCCTCTTACTCATAAAGTTGTCGAGTCTTCTTTCATTCCGTCAACTATTATCTTTCTACACCCCTTCATGCTGTAGTAAGGAGCATTTTCCGATAAGCTTGTGCTTCAGTGGGTCGATTGCAGTGGCGTGGCGTGCTTTGAGATGTATCGATTGTTACGCCATATAAACCTATGGAAAATGATCGATAAACAGAGTGCTCGCAACGGACACCTTAATAATCGATTCTCTATCATAGATTTAAATGGAAGAACAATCGATACATCGCAATTCACGCCACGCCACTGGTCGATTGTTGAATCGTTATAGAATGATCCTGATCGATAAATCCCTATCTCAGCGATGCTTTTTATCGATCAAGGTCATTCGATGTCGATTCAGTAATCGAACGGCTCTCATTTCTAGGTTTGCCAGATTGATTTAGATTTGCCAGACGTTATCAGACAATTAACTTTGCGCTTTAATGTTTTTCTGTCTGATTGTGTTGTTCTGTTGCCCGTGTTTAAATCCATCAAAAAGAACCAAGACTTGATCTTTAATCAACCTAACCATCAGGCCGTATTTGCGAGGGATACTTCTACAGTGTTTTGTGGCACTATGTGGCCAAAAATAAAAAAAAAATAAATGAAAATGACCGCTATAGCACGATTTTTATCTAATTTTGACCTCCAATAATTTTTTCAATGTTACCACAAAATCTCGTTTCAATGACTTCGAATTTTGCCAGGGTATTTGATAACATTTTGTTTTATAGAGGGTCGAAGGTGGATCCAGACGCCTCCAACGGGGGAAGGAGAGTCCGGGGGCCTCCCCTAGAAAATTTTTGAATTTGCGAAGCATGTTCTAGTCAAGCATGTTTTAGTTTTAGTCAATTTTATAAATAATTACCAAATCTAAGAGTTTACCCTTCGTCTTTCCTCTGTTTCTTTCCTCTTTCTTCTTTTCTTTTTCTTCTTATTTTTATCCAAGGGAACGGGCACGCCCCCTACGCCCTCCTTGGATCCGCCTATGTGTAGGATGGGTGTGATCCTGCACCATGGATTGCCCCGAGCCCAAACGGCAACACAGGCCAAAATCACGGCTGGGGAGAATCGCTGAAAAACGTCTATTCAGAACTTTTAAAATGGAGGGTTTCCTTTTTTACACCGTGCAGGGGTATCAGGGAGCCTCCCCAAAACCGCTCTGCCCCTGCCAGCGGCCGCGCATTATGCATAATTTATGATGCGATGAAGACGTCATAGCCACTTTTTTAATTTTCAAACGCATCCATAATTCATTTACTCTATTTTCCCCGCGCCGCGCGCAGCGGCGGGAGACACCGCGTATCGGAGTGTCGGAAAATTTCAGAGTCGGATTCACACCGTTACTCTTTTCATCCTGGCGGTCTCGCCGTGTTCAAGAATATGCTTGCTCAGCTATCCGCGGGCCTTGGAGAGTCGTTAGCGCCCTTGTGAAATGCTATCAAAGCTTTTAAATAGTTCGCACCTCCCTATTTCACGTGTTTTTATGCTCCACTCTTCACCCTCCACTCAACACTCGCGGCCTTTGTGGATTCTGTCTCCCCGCGTTGCACAGTGTGGAACTTTTATTAATGGCGTGGATAAAACTCACAGACACCGTAAAAATAGACGTACGGCATCATGAAAGGCATGAGATATTCGATCGAACTCCTTCGGAACTTGGTTTAACACATTTTGAATTTTCTAGCATCCGAGAGCCGGCTTGAAAGGAAATAAAGAAGAAGAAAAAAATAAACGTGTCAAAAAAATTGTCCTGATCATGAATATTACAGCAGTGTCTAGAAAATTCTTCAAGTCAATTTTTTATTTTTGTTCATTGGACTCCGCACTGTGCGTCACACGATGGACCGAGCCAAATACATTTTTGGCCAAATTTGATGTTCATGCCGTCTTATGATGGAAGTTTAAAAAATGGTTTTTAAATACATTTTTACGGGCAAACCAAATGGAACCTCTATGTATTTGGTAAATGAAGATAACTATGCTGCTGAGATTTCCACGTCATTTCCAATCTCTGAAATTAACTTGCTCTACTGTACGCCGGAACCGAGGAGGCTGCTCCACTCTTGTCGCTCGCTAATTCGCAATTTTTGCGGGTAACGAGCACGTTCAGGATTCCATTCGTGGTTAATGAAACGGAATGGAGATCAACTATGGTTCCGAGCCAATTAGCGTGTTGGAGTTGATACGTCACATTTTTGGATGGTTACTCAACGTAGATCGGTTCAGAGTGCTGATAAATCACCCCCTCAGAGCCAAAAGAAACGACATCCTGCAGGTGTAAAAACCTCGGTTATACGAACAGAATATAGTTATGGGTACCACTCGGTTCGGTGGACTAAGTCCTTAAGTGGGCGCAACAATCGTATATACACGCGCAACAACGCGATTTGCGTGTGGGAGGGTAAACCATGTTGAACATTACGTGGCATCCTACACTGGAAAAAAAAGTCGCTTGGATCCAGAGTCCAGACTCTTAAAAACATTGATAAGAAAAAGTACTCTTGATTCGATCAGATTTTACCTTGAATCGAAGATTAAGCGGATATCCTTTTGATTCCAGCCAAAAGTCCGATTGAATCGAAAGTATTGGCGCGTATACGTAGTATACCGCCTTTGCGATCGTTTCGAACCCTGCTCGATACAATAACCGAGTCCCTTAGTTCCTTACCGAAAAGTGACTACCGCGAACTTCTGAGATTTTCCAAAGCGTGTAAAAAGTTTATATATCCGTCAATAATTGTGATTTAAGGTTGTTTCTCATTCTGGGGCTCGCTAGTTTATGTGCAGTGAATACCAAGAGTCTACGTTACTTGGTTTTTTTAAAAAAAGCCTAAGAGTACGACGCGCTGATTTAAAATATGCATATATAAGCGGAAGCAAGCGAACTGATTCGAGGATGGCTGACCAGTTCGGCACTCCTTGAATGAGAATTTCACTCACTCCGTTTTGTTCACAACGTTGCTTTGACATATCTCCACAACACTGTTATCCTTTTCAAAAGTTGGTACTCCTTGCTCTGATAGCCGGGGCCACCAGGATAGTGGTAAGTGCAATCTGTGATGAGCCTCGAGACTCATTAGACCATTTGCTAAACGTGGCTCATACAGGAGTCCACTAAGCCCTCTCGTCCCCACGCTCCTGATCACTGCGTCGGCGTCACGAAGAACAATGGGCCTTGGGTCCCAACGCGGCCGATACCCGTACCCCAATTACTCACGCTTCATTAACCATTTCACCGTCACGCTAGGATTCATCCAATTTTCAAAAAAAATTGTTTCGCATGTATTTAGCAATTTTTTCCTTACTCTCCGTTAAAACACAAATAAAAAGAGACCTCATTCATAAAAATCGGCCGAATAGAAGAGAAGTTACAGTAATCGAAATCCGAAGAAATCAACAAAACCTCGACTCCTCGATACGAAAAATAAAATGAAGGGGAAAAAAAGAAAGTATAAATTACAATTAAATATAATTAACCTCAGAATTTGACAAGCAATTCATTTATATACCTAACGCTGAAAAAACTGGGAGAAATTACAAAAAATTCGCCTCTTGCAAGGGGCTTCTTTGTAAGAATTTTGACCTGAAGACAAGGGTCGAATAACAGCAGTACTCCATACAATACACGGTGTGCCTGAACGAGTTAAACATTTTTTATACGTCCAAATCGAAAAATCTTTATATTTTTAACTACAATGTCTCTTGAATCGTTTAAGCCCCCCCAAAAAAAAAATCCGTCGAGATTCTGGAACGTAAAGGCGCTTTCAAAGTATTCTGGGGCTATAATAGCTAAATCACCGGTAGTAAATCCCGTTATATTATTATAATGAAATTGACTCCATAGTTTACTTCCTTAGTTTCTTGAATACGATTATTTTAAGCACTTAAACATTTATACCACCAATTTTAGCCAAGGGGTGATTTCCTGAGAGCCGATAATATCACGAATTTCTCATAGAACCCTTCAACAGTGGCTTGCTTTTTTGGCAGCCGATTCGGCCATCGAACCGGAGCTTAAATGGAAGCTGATAATAACCCAAAGCTCTGAGAAAAATTTTGAGATGAGTATAAGAACGGTTTGTTGTAAGTAAGCGGCTAAAATCCGATCTAATTTTTACAGTTTTTCTGTTGAATTAATGTTGCCGCGGGCTTCTGACTGTGTCCACACATAGTTTCTGTTCAGCATATCGATACATAAGTATTTACACACGTAGAATCTAATTTTCACGTCGGGTAGTCGACACATTTTGATTTTTTCGATTTTATACGGAAAATTGATGGTTTTTCGGGATTGAAATTATTATTGTTTCATGAAAAATAAATGCACCCAAAATGACTATAGCATATTGATTTTTACACATTTGCACTCACGAAATTGGTTGGTAAATTCAACGAGTGGGTGCATCGACCTGGTATATCAAGTTTCTGCAATTTTTTACGGCAAATCGGTAGATTTTCGGGATGTAGATTGCTTACTTTCAATTCATGAATGAATAAAGCAACGACATGGTTGAACTTCTTTGCATGCAAAGACGTTTAAAATAACAAAATCAAGACGTATTTAATGCAATTGCATTTATATCGAGTCAATTTCTTTTCAATAATATAACGGGATTTTTACTACCGGTGATTTGGGTATTTTAGCCCCAAAATACCTTTAAATCGACTTTATCTTCTAGGGGTTCGACAGAATTTTTCCTTTCTTCGCTTAAATTATTCCATAGCACTTTTCTTCAAGAATCTGATAAGATTTTGCTTGAGGCAGATCAAAAAACTTAAATTCAATCGAATAGCTTTCTACTTTCACAATACACGGTCTCGTCAAGGTGCGTCTTTGACCTCGCAGTGTTGGATCGTGAATTCTCTTTTTATGCTGTTTGCCTATTTTGAAATCTCTGTAAATGAAAACTAAAGGGGTTGATATGTGCGAGTTAATGGCGCGCCTTATCAACACATTGTGTTGGAGTTCACTGCTTGTTTTTTCTTGTAAATGTTTTTAAGAGTCCGGACTCTAGATCCAAGCGACTTTTTTTCCAGTGAATGCGCAAGGGTTGGATTTGAATGGAACGATTCCTCTTACAGAATGCTCACCCGTGCTGTAGTTTAGTTTTCGAAGCAAATAGCTTAAAAGCGCATATTTCCTCCACAAATAGTGAAGTAAGGAGTCAAGTCCAGAATTTTCTGAGGCGCTCATCGTAACTGTAAGAAATAACTCCTCTTTTTGCTGTTGCTGAAGTTTGCAAGAGGCCAATGAAGATGTTGCATGTGTGAGGAATTTGCGATTTGGCTGTTGAAGCTTATGTAAAAGTTCGAGAGAAACACGATGGTGCCACTGATTTTCTCTGAAATCAACTTCCAAGCTCAAAAAAAGCTCTCAAGTTGAGGCCACAATGGAGGGGATATCCCAAGCTATCCTGAGAGTCCACCTCTGCATCAAATCAAACTCTCCATGCAAAAATAGGGAGCAAGTACATTAGCAGGGTTGCCGTGTTTTCAGTTTTGGAGTCCCCGAATAAAAAGCAGCCCTGTCAATGTATTTGCTCCCTATTATTGCATGGAGAGTTCGTCTTGATGTAGAGGTGGACTCTCAGGGTAGGGTGGGATATCCCCTCCATTTTGGCCTCAACTTGAGAGCTTTTTTTGAGCTTGGGAGTTAATTTCAGAGAAAACCAGTGGCACCATCGTGTTTCTCGCGAACTTTTACACAAGCATCAACAGTCAAATCGCAAATTCCTCACACATGCAACATCTCCATTCATAAACACACTTTGCATCTACTGTCACTGTCTCGCTCGTTAAAGTCCATGTGTGTGTTTGTGTTGTAGGTGGGAACGGTCCGTGCAGCGCGAGAAAGTGCGAGTTCGGAGCCACGTGTGTCGAGCGAGGGGGTTCACCAGTTTGCGAGTGTCCAGTCTGCTCGACAGAGCTCGACCCCGTCTGCGGCTCCGATGGCATAACCTATGGCAACGAATGCAAGCTCCGGCTAGAGTCCTGCCAACACCACCGCCAGATCCGCATCCTCCACCATGGACTTTGCAGTAAGTTAAATGTCATTTAGATTTTTGTTCGAAAATAGTGCTGGGTCGTTCATGAATCGAATCGTTCAAATGAACGAATAATCGAAAGGAACGAGTATCCTAGACGATTCACACCAAAATGAACCAGTTCTTCAGGAATCGTTTCGCGCCCGGCACTACAGTGCGGTAACTAGACGCAAGTCGTTCATGAATCGAAAAGAATTGGAATCGCATGGATGCCAACCTAACATTGTACAGCCTTTGACTGCTTCTAATCCTATGATGAGAGTTGAAGATAGATTATACCGCGTGTAGGTTGGTATCCATGCGATTCCAATTCTTTTCGATTCATGAACGATTTGCGTCCAGCTTGATTCGAAAACCAGAGTTTCCATAAAGTTTCTATCCGGTTTTGTTTCATAAATCATCAAGTCAGACATCAAATGAACCGAGTTCGTTAGGAAGGAACCAACCCACACTAAGTTGTTGAAACTGAGGAAAATACGTTTGAAGTTATACTCCTGCACAAGGTTCAATTTAAAAAAGAAACTTTAATCCCTTTTTTAACAACAAAATTTTTGTTTTTAGACTTCCGGTTTGTTGCAGGAGAAAATGTACGGCTAGCTAACCTCAAAAACATTTCTGAACTCAATTTTTTCGAAAATGTGGGTTGGTTCCTTTTTGATAAACTCGGCAAATTGATGAAGTTTTAATTACCACCAATGACACGGATCTGTTAAGAACTATCTCGCGATCGGATTGATCATCAATGATATATTAGGAACTTAAAACGTTGAGACTATGCGTCATCAGAAGTAGGTTTGGTAAAATTAGCTGGAATGAAATACGCAACCAAGAGGTCGGTGTGCAACACAATCAAGTTTTCCATAATATTATCGGAGGTTGACTGAGCCATGTTGAATCAGGGCAGCGGTCCAAATTTGTGTCAATTGCGGAAACGTTATCGGTAGTGGTTATTAACAGCTGCGATACCTTTAAGGAAATTTTTTTGGTGGAAAATGTGCACCATTTGGCAGATCTGCTGTGATGCTCTTGCGAACTCCGAGATTTTATGCTGAACAGAACTGTAAATGCAACGCATAAAACCTTTGAGAACTGACAACCGCAGCTACACATTGTTATTAAGAAAACAAGAGCGCCTGCAATTTTTTGGTATGCAACATGGACATCCGGAGAACACGAATAGTTGTATTCAGACGAAGCCATTGAAAAACACGGAGCGCCTTCAAAAATGTGTATTTTATTGCATTAAAACGTTGTTGTTTAACGAAAATAGGGCGATTCCGAGTTTTACGCAAATCGATTCAACATGAAATGAGGTATCGTTTTCCAACCATACCTGCAAAGTGTTAAAAATTCACGGAGAATTTCGAAAAAAAACAATCGACGCGTGTAAATATAAAAAATAATACATGAAAAATAAACCCAGAACGAAATTTTGTCTTTTCAGTAATTGAATACGTCCTAGTTTTATGTGATGTGTCTCTGATCGAACACAAAGCCCGAGAACCGATCGCATCAGTGTCAGGTTGGGTCAAGTTAGGTCACGCAACTAAACTAACTCTGCGGCAAAGCTGGAAGTATCACTCGAATTGAAGGCGCCCCAATCCCGAATTCGCACACACTATTCCTACAACTTCGATCAATAGAACTTTTGGAGCTTCTTATCGCTTTCAGTACACTATAGGCTACCATTTCGCGAAAATGCGGTCATGGATAATTTGATGTTGTCAAATTTCTTCACAGAATTGTGAATGCAACGCAGAAAATCTTTGAGAACTGACAACGGCAGCCACACGTTGTTATTAAGAAAACAAGAGCGCCTGCAATTTTTTGGTATGCAACATGGACATCCGGAGAACACGAATAGTTGTATTCAGACGAAGCCATTGAAAAACACGGAGCGCCTTCAAAAATGTGTATTTTATTGCATTAAAACGTTGTTGTTGAACGAAAATAGGGCGAGTGAGTCTTTTATCAAATTGAAAAAAAGAAATGAGAAAATTACTTATGAACATGAAATAAAATGGTAAATGTTCATGCATTAGCAGTTACTCGCCTGCAATTTTATCGGCGACTATAAAATTGACCCTCCTCCAAATGCCCATCTAGCTAAGATAGAAATATGTAAAAATCTTATTCCTTTAATTATTTCCTACCTGCGTATGTAACAGCGTTGCCAAATAGTGCGATTTGTGGGACCGTTATCATCAAACACGAGAGGAATAGCGACTTATCATGATCATTTGTGATGCATCATGGCAGTGTTGCCAAATGGTGCATTTTCTTTACCAGAATCATTTCCATTAGTGTATCGCGGATGTCAGTCCCGCAAATTACCAACGATTACACAAGGAACTATACGCAACATATTTATTCTTCTTTCACGAGAAAATAAACGACACGATGAGAAGTCTGTAAATCGATTCATAAACAAGATACACGTGTTTAGAAATCAATATCAGTTCAAAGGCCACAATAAAAATGACGGCATGCATATAGTCGAACTTCCGTTTGATTTTTGTCAGGAATACTTGTTAATACTTCTCTCAGAAGTTGCTTTTCGAACTTCTTTTCTCGTGAATCGATGGTTACGTAAAATTTTGTCGAGAAAAACCTTGAACTTTTTCTCTAGTTCAGACCTTGTTCAGTGACTTATCCTAAACCTCTCTTTTTAAAATGCTCGTAGCTTGATAATAAACATTCTAACTCCGAGGAAAGCCCAGGAAGCACTATACTGGTTTTTTGTGTTTAAAAACCTACCTGTCCCCAGAAGAAAACATATTTATAATACATAGAGTTACCAGTCTTAATTGCACTTTCATCCTCGGAATTGGTAACCTTCTTTCCTGAATCTTTTACGTTGCGACCTCTTCCGGAACATCCAACCACCACATGATATTAAGTTGCATTGTTATTACCTTCCCACGAAATTACATTTTTCGGATTCCTGAGATGAAATGAAAATAAGAGTTTCAGTCCGGATTTAATTTGAAATAACAAGCTTGTTGAATTCGCGAAGATAAAATGAAAGTCGAGAGCGGCACTCGTTGAAGTGCGTTCCACGAATTAAAGGCCGCTTTTGTTCCGCACCAAATATCACAACCCCCGTGCAGACTATATTGTTTTAGATCTATGGTTGACTTTCTCTCTCTCCTTTTTTTTAAATTTTTCGTCAAAAAATGTAGAGATTTTTATCAAGGAGTTTTGTTTTATAAATGTTATACTGCCTTTTTTTAAAAAAAATATTTTGATTGTGCACTTTTGAAGGGAGATTGTAATAAAAAATTCAATCATTGGAGTATTTTCGTGTTTGCACACGAGAGAGTGGACTTTAATTCGAGAGTGAAAACTTTTTAGTAGAATGATTATCGTTGAAATGAGTTAGGTGATGGAAATTTAAGATTTTGAAATGCATAAATATATGATATAAACTAGTATGAATAAACAATATAAAATAAAAAATTAATGAATACTTATTCTGAATTAACATGCAGAGATAAACAAATAAAACGAAATGACGTGGATTTACACAAATACGTAAATAAAATAAACTAAAGTAGATTGAAATAAATAACATAAAATAAAATAAAGTAGATTGAAATAAATATGAAGAAAATAAAATAAATCAAAATATTTGAATAAAATAGTATTAGTATATAGAATTTATCTGGCTCCAAAGCTAATTTTGGCTATAAGGCACCTCGTTTGCTCCAAGATATACACAGCATTGTATCAAGTTAAAGCGACAATTTCTTGATCAGAAATAATTGTTCTCTGAATTTGAGAAACTTTATTGTGTTATTGTATTACAATGAAGATTTCTTGATACGAGAAAATCGTTTTCTTAATTTGAGACAATCAGTAGTGTTCTTTTATTACAAAAAATTGTGTTCATTCATGCCAACAATAGCAGTGTTTACTCAAGAAAAATTGTGTTGAAATGACACAATGTTCTGTTGCGCCAACACAAAGGCTCCTAAACCTACTTTGTAGTGTCAATTAAATGCAACTCGTTTACTCCAATCAACACAACATAGCTCAACACAACTTATTGGTTTGATGTATCCCTACGATTTTTTCCCGTGTATCCTCTCGATTTTTTTTTTGTCAATTTTGACCCAATGTAGATGAAGATTGCTGTGTCAAAATGGTCTTTTTAATTTTATTATTGTTTATTTTTGGAAATTACAGATAGCTGCGAAAACAAAAAGTGTGAAACGTACGAAATTTGTCAAAACGATAGTTACGGGGAGGCTCATTGTGTCTGTCCACCATCTTGTCCTCCGGTAAGCTCTAATCTTTTGGCACTTAGCAGCATTATTCTCTGAACAACGTTGTAAATTCAGAAAACGAAAACTCTAATCTTCATACTCTATATGATAACCTTTAGAGGTGTTTCATCTTCTACTCCTTCGTGTCAATTTCATAGATAATGTCCTTCATATAATTTCCAAGTTAAACACCGAAGTCTATGTTGAACATATTTACAAGAATTCCTTACCGTAAAGACGTTGAATATTTGCACTGTAATATGTATGGAAATGGCGAATTTGCTCGATAATATGTATTCATGCGACTCTAGCTAAACGTTTGAGACTAAAGTGCGAAAAAAAAGAAGAAGACAAAGTGAGGAGTATACATTGACTAATTTACTATGCTGATAGAGGCAATATACTAATTAGACCGAGTTCATCAGAAAGGAATCAACCCTTATTAAGTTGAAACCGTGGAAAAGAGGTTTGAAGTTTTATTGCTGCATAAGGCATAATGTAAAAATAAACTTTAATCCCTCTTTTTATAAACCAATTTCTTTTTCTCAACTTTCAATTTTGGCAGGAGAAATTGGTTTGTGAAACTCAGAGACATTCTTAACTCATATTTTCAAAAATGTGGGTTGGTTCCTTTCTGATAAGCTTAGTCCAATTGAGTGTGATCAGGTACCCGAAAAAGGGCCTTAAAACAGTGAAGTAGGCAACACCGCATTACCACCGAGTCGAAATAGTGGTATCATCCGTTTGAATGGTTTGTTTGCCCTCGCCCCAGGCGGAAGGATTCCCTCTCTCCGCCAAAAACACGTTCAATACGTCGCGTTGTACTAATGCTACTCTCTCGAATCTTAATAATGTACTTGCCCTGTTTGCTCGACATCAATGCGCTTCTTAAATATTCGATCAATTAGTGGAAAAGAACAAACCCCTATTCTGTTGTCATGAGACTAAAGAATTCACCCACGAAAAAACGAATTCAACGCATTGGCGCCTACAAACCTAACAGGGATACTTCACGCATTGCGCAATGCGTGAAGTATCCCTGTTAGGTTTGTAGGCGCTAATGCGCGCATTGCGCAATGCGTGAAGTATCCCTGTTAGGTTTGTAGGCGCCAATGCGCTTATCGCGCTGGCAGCACGCCGCGCCGCGGCCGCTCCGCTCTATGTTGGGCTCAAATATTTAAGGTCATTTGAAGGACGCCATTTTTTGTGTCAGAGCAACGTGCGATATATCGCATCGATTCGTTCCACAATTTCAGCTACTTGTCATTTTTTTTTTTCGAATTTTGAGATCGCACTTCTGTTGTCACGAGTCCAAAGAATTCATGAAATAAATTTGACAAAGAAATTCAACGTATTAAAATCAGTGTTTTTTCAGGGGAAACACATCACATTCGATACTAATATCGAAACTGCACTCGAACGCGGTATTTTTCCTATAAAAAAAACCTTGCCTTTAGAACAACGTAACAAAGGCAGAATTTGAATTTGTCTTTCAAATTTTGTCAGTGAGCTTCCATTGTCTCATCCGAATAGAAATGCCAGCTAAAAATTCAATAAACATGGGCAAGTAGCTAAAGACATGGAGCTACTCGATGCGAATAACGGATGTCGTCCCGACACAGAATATGGCGGCCATTGAATCAACTTAACCTGTCTATTGATCCATTAAATACTTTCTCCAGGGAAATTTGACACCGTGTGTATGTTCATACAAAGTCTTTCCCGAGCATGGCATAATACTGCCGTGCTGAGGAAGAACGCCGTATGAGCGCTCAAACGTTGCCAAGTTTCCTCCAATAAAAACCAAAATTGCTGGAAAAATTGTGAATATTATGTTTCAAAATTTTCAGACAATTTTACACGCAATTTACTCTAAAATATCTGAAAGTTTCAAGGAAGAACATGCATAAATTTCAAAAATACATGTTTTATCTAGGGAAATTTGGCAACTCTCGAATGTTCATACGGCGTTCTTCCTTAGCACGGCAGAATAGGCTTTTAACTTCAACCTGGAATATCTCAGGGTTCGCTTTCCACTGTTGAATCGGATCCATCGCGATCCGAGTTGGATTAGCGGGAATCGTAGGGGTGCGGGGTGGTGGGGTGAGGTGGAGGGGGGAGGAGGGAGCAATTAATAAGACAAACGGTAACCCGACTGGCGGAACAAAGTAATGTTAAAGTGGGAATCTAAAAAATTAACACGGGGTCGTCGGTTGACGGAGGGGCTGCGAGGGGACGGGGAGGGATTAAGCGGGGGTATTTTTTCTCATTTTTCCTTGTGTTGTTGCAGGAGGAATCGCCGGTGTGCGGCTCGGATGGGGCCACGTACCGGAGCGAGTGCGAACTGAGGCTCGAGTCTTGCAAATCACGTCAATTAGTCACCGTGGCAAGCCAAGGCGACTGCGGTAAGTCCACTTGTCCCTGTCATCGTTCCCGGCCCCCGAGTTTTTTCTCCCTCCGCACGCGCGGCGCGGCGGCGCTGTTGAAAAATTTAACTGCAGTCCGTTCGCAGAAAAAAAAGTGTCAGGGATTATCCCCTAAAATTGTGGTACCACGCCAATTTGTTTTATAATGGGGACATTTCCACTCAATGGACCACTAGACAAGGTACGAATTTCAGCATTCTGATACATGTTTCTTAACCAAAATTGCACGTAGAACACGATACGCATAACGAAAATTACCGAAATTAACTCCTTACGAAGATATTTAATGATTCTTGATGCGTGCTTTCAAAACCACCCGCTCATGAAAACTCAATGCTCTGCGTGATTCACATCGTGTGCTAAACGTTAGCATGACAGTTTCTGCGATATAAAAATCTGGCAACCTCAATCTTGACGCTTTGGCTCAGCTGTAGCAAATTGCTTATAGTTTGAACAACACATGGTGGGAAATGAACATTACTCGACTGAGAAGCTTATTGAAACCGTTGTAGTGCGCGATTTGACTCACGTAGAGCTCTGAGTTTCTTGTGAGCGGGCAGTTCAAATTCCTCGTAACCAATGTGAAATAAAAACGTTAGTATCTTCGTTAGGAGTTGGTTTCAGTAATTTGCGTTAGGTGAATCGTATTCTACGTGAAATTTTGGTAAAGAAACATGTATCAGATTGCTTAAATTCGTACCTTGTCTAGTGGTCCATTTGTTTTATAATGGGGACATTTCCACTCAATTGGGGCAGTACCGCAACTTAAGATGGGTTGGTAACCTAATTTATTGGGGTACTACCTTGTCACTGGTACTACCACAAGTAATCGGAAATTCCTCTATCATCCAGCAACCCCGTGCTCTTTTTCTCTGTGATTAGTAACTTGAATGGGTCACATTTTTATAATAATTCCGGAAGTACCTACCAGGTGAGAAGATTGTTTGGTGATTTATTACATACACTGAAAAAACAATGAAGTTGATTCAACATTCTGGATGTAAAAAAGTGTGCGAGAATTTACAAAATGCTGAATTAACTGCTACAGCAGTTACTTTAGCGATGTCAAGATGTAAAATTAACTGCCGTGGCGGGTAATTTAGCATTTTGTGAGTTCTCACATACTTATTTTACATCCAGAGTGTTAAATCAACTTCACTCTTTTTTCGGTGTATTTTTGGAGCCAACACACCGGAGAAACCTGCTAATGAAAAGTACGAAAACTCCAAGGAGTTTCAAACTTGCCAGAATGGCGACAGCCATGTTGCTATCTCCACTGATTTTCGTTAAAATAGAAAGTATTCCAATGTGAAGTCGGTAACATAAATGATTATTTTAATTCTAAAGATGTAGTTTCGACTTTTCTATTTTCCCCATAAACAAGAACGACAGATATTCGACGGCAGTCGTAGAGGTCTGTGTTCGCCTCTGATTGATGCTGGATGACATCATCCGGTTTGGCGATGAACCAGAGCATTTTAAATTTGCGGAAAAGATACGCATTTTAAAACGCGTTCTACTCGGTTTCGGAGTTCCTCTCTCAAAGGACGCTTTTAGTATTGAAAAGTTAATCGCCATGCTCAGCTTGGCAACTAAGCTAAGAGCTGGGCTTTTCATTTACGCGTCAGTTTTTTTCGAGCGCTTTTCATCGTTTGTTGATATCCCCGTTAATTTCATCGTCCGGCTTTCCACTCCATTTTTTACCCCATGATAAAAACTCTAATCATTCAATGATGCACGGCAAGTGTATTTTAACAAAGCATCACCGTGAAACAATTTCTCGTCAGATCCGAAGAATTATTACTAGTAGTTGTCACAGTCCTTTGGGACGAAATATTGTAGAAACAGTTTCTTTTCTCGAATTTTCAACCAGCAGAATCCAACGAAACCTCCATAGTTAGTTTATACCAACCGAGTGAACGTATCCTAACGCGCCAGTGTTTGTAACACTGCGGCACTATGATCAGGTCCAGTGGCGTGGCGTGCTTTGCGATGTATCGATTGATACGCCACTCAAACCCATGAAAAAAGATCGATTATCAGGGTGTTCGCAGCGAACACCTTAGTAATCGATTATTTACCATAGTTTCAAATGGCGAGCTATCGATAATCGATTATTCACGCCACGCCACTGATCAGGTCTCGTTCCGATTTTCTGCTAGACGACCACAGCCGTAGGGGCTCAATAATACGTGCCAATTTGCATTTAACAGCAGGAATTTCTTTCTTAAAACCCTCAGTGTTTTTACGAATAAGGTTAATTGGATCACATTCAGCAAAAAGGAACGAGCACGATTACATTGTTTTCAAAATCGTGCAACTTCTTCTTTTCTTTTATAAATACTCGATACATATACAGTATTAAAATTTACACAGTCATGTTCCCTTACAATGAACAATTTTTTGGTGAGAAGCTAAAACTATTTGCTATTCTAGGAGATTTTTTAGATAATTATGAAGAGGCAACATTTTCACAACACTGTAATCGCGCTGGTTCCTTTTTGCTATGCGATCCAATTTTGCTTAGCAGAATCACCAAATCAGTTTAAATCAGATCAGTCAAATTGTTAAGTAAACTTGATTCCAAATATTTGGTTCTTGCGGCTCTCCTCGGTAACACGGCAGTAATAGTGGTGACATCACCCTTGAAATTCTCCACTAAATCGACTTCAACCTAAACAATAACACCAACTATGACCTAACCCCTTACAGTGCGACCAATGAGAATAAATCGATATAAATCACTCTCGTGTGACGTAATGCTAATAGCAAGTATAGGTACATGTGCAGCCGACCGAAGGGGATGGTTGTGACTCAAGGCTCATTTCACGCTAGACGAGTTGCGATACGAGGCGACTCATAAGTAGACGGCTTTTTCCGCGATTAAATATCGGAATCGCTTTGTTCCGCGCACTCACCAGTCATGCGAGGAAATCTGTGCAAGTGCTTTTCCGCCTTGCCAAGTTGAACTCGTTTTTGAAGTCTAGGCATTGAAAGGCGCCATTGTCATACGCCAGATTTCCTGTGCAGGAAGAGGAACTGACCTAACGTAACCTCTAGAATGGCCACCAGTGGGCCGATTTTTGAAATTGATAGGCAGAGCTGTAGATAAAGGAAACAAAATTGATATAGTGGGATCCTATTGGTGGAAGCAGGTGGTTGTAATGGACAAATGAGGCATAGGAAATAGACTAACTGGAGGTAACCGACAAGAGATCCGACAGTTAGTCCATCATTTCCCCCTCAGTGTGTAAGAACCATCAATTACAACCAATAGGATCGCTCCATACTTCCTATGTCTTCTTTGTCTATCGCTGAGTCTGTCAATTTCAATAATCAGTCCACTGGTAGAGTCCACGCCAAATAAGTTCACGCACTCCAGATTGTGACAGAATATCCGACACCGTGCTTCTTGCATTTACATACAGGGTTATTCAAAAGTCACGCACCACTGGCCATGAGGTGGGTGGCCATTTGAAACTTTTGAGTTGCACCCCACCCTCCCTCCACCTGAGGGGGTCTAAAACTGGAAAGCACCTAAAAAAGTTTCCAGATCAATGTGAAGAAAAATGTCACAAACCGCAAATCGATATCTTAATTAGAACTAAAGTTAGGGCCACTGGTGCGTGACTTTTGAGTAACCCTGTATAAAAATGACGTCAGACGATCTTCTTCGCAGTCTAGAAGTGCGTAAACTTATTTGGCATGGGCTCTAAAGAGTCCACATTGATAGATATCTTGGAGTGAAATCTGGAGCGCATTTCACCATGGAGCGTAATTTACCCACCCCCTCCCCCAAAACAAAGTGGTGCATGCCTGAGGAGGGAAATTCGCTCCGGAAGAGCAAAGCTGACGCCATAAAATGATTTTTCATCGAAGGTTGTGTAAATTATGTAGTCGCCCTTTTGTTGTACATAGCTGTAAGAGATGTGTATGTTTGTGTGGAAAGCTCATCCAACCGTCTGATTATTGAAACTATATCTGGCTTTGTCGGCAAGTTTCATTTAGACATAGCCCTGTTTGCGCTATGTAACGTTCCGATTTTCTTTGTATTGTCGAGCGGGAATAAATTTCATCAATCAGGCTATTAAACGAACATTAAAAAATCACCACATAGATGGTCTGGCTCTCCCTATAAAGATACTGTATTGTCAAATGTCTTTCCTCTTAATCTTATCCTATAATGTACAATCACAAGAGTAGCGCCTAACGCGTAACGCATAACGTATAACGCCGAAGGCGCGAAACGCTTCAAGGAGTTGGATCGCGTAGCAGTCAAGAGTTTAGCCCCTTACTTTGAGTTAATTGTAAGAACAGAATATCATCAGCTTGCCTTTCGAGTGAGATAATTAAATGCCTCAAACTTGGTGCTTTTTTTTCATCAATTTTTGCAAACAAGAGATTCGCACCAGTCGCGATGATTCCCTAGTGTATTTTTCCCAAAAATAAAATAGATAGCTCGTATCACATCCCGGCCGCTTTAGGCACAACTCTCAGTGGGCCTAACCTTAGAGAGCCACTTCGCGGTCATCATTCAAAAAGTCGAAAATTGTGGGATCGTCGCTTTCTCAAAGGCGAGAAATGAAGGGCATCGGCTGTGAATGTTTAGGAGTCTTTCAGATCGGAAATGAAAATTCGAGCTGTCGGAGAGCTCAAAGTAAAGATTTTTAATGATAATGCCGATGAATGTGGCAACGCTGCAGGTATCGTACTTTAAACGCAAGCATAACTTTCAATCCCCTGTTTGCTTCTCGCTCCTTGCTTTCTCCATTCGAAGATGAATGTTTGATAACGACTTCATTTCACCGGTGCACGAGCCGTGTTCAACATAGCCACTACCTTTTATTTGATCAAATTAGTTTTCTCCTATTAAAAGATTTTAAAAAGATTGTAAGTCGAGCCTTCCTCGGGCTATATTCGCCAGAACTCTTTAATTTGACGGCTGTCTTAATCAATATCTCTCTCATAGTCCCCGGAGCTCTAAATTTGGACGTACTTGATAGGCTCTTATACTCATTTTTCCATCAAATCTTTTCGCAAGTGTGATAGTTTCCTTTTTGCACAGACTATGTATGAATTTTTACGATCCGAGCAGTATTGCAAAGCTTATACCTACTCACGTTGTCTCTTGAAAGAATCTCTCAAATTCTATCAGCGCTATTTGCACGGAGAAAAAAATTATGGTTAAAAGCACCACATTACTAATGTTTCAAATGTGCTCTTCGTTGAGTAAAAAAATAAAGTAGTCATACTATCACTTTATGATAAAAATAGGACAGTTATCGGTTATTTATCCACCAAATAGGAGCTCATTTGAAGCACCAATTCAGCCAAAAGTAGTAAGTTTACCACGGTTTTTTCCAAAACCGTCTTTCGACGCATTCCGAGTCGGTAAAATTCCGTGCTCTATTTTGCGATTTTGCAACTCCGCGCTGCGGTGGCTCCCGATAACAAGGGCGGTAGCACACGAGGGTAGCCAGGTTTGGCGGGGGATGAAGACATGGCGCTCGACAATGCAGAGTCGGAGGTGCGAGAAAAGCATAATATTTATATTTTGATAGCGTCGCCGAGGTGGTTCGATAGCGGGATATGCTAGGCGGCTGAGGCTCGCACCGCTCCGTGCATAATGTGCATGTTTGCCAGCGCTACTCTGCGAGTTGAATTTTCGCCGAGTAAATTTTACAGACACTCAACGGTTCATTTCTGACTGTCTCAGCCCTCTATGGCTATCGTAGGGGTAGAAACAAGATATTTTAGGGAAACTGCACTAACACTTATTGAAATACATCACTTATTAATAATAAGGCCCAAACCGGTATAGATCTCTCGGCGTGACTCCAACTTAATATTCCAATGCAAACTGCCTGAGCGGAACACTGTCCCCCCTCAGTTTTGTACTGGTGCGCATTAGAGTTAAAAAAATTTAATTTTGACTCTAATTTTAATTTTTGGAATCTCTTGGCCTTGTTTCCCCGCGAAATGGTGTGGACCCAGCACCATTTCTCCACCTCGTTACATACAGTTCGGGCCATAGTGTTTAATTTTTTCACTTATTGAAATATATAGACAAATTAATGAACGAAGAAGGTAATGCTATATTGGAACGATCCCATTGGTTAAAACGAGTGGCTGTCATAGATTAAGGGGGAAAATTACAAGGTCCCTCACCGGTTGCCGTTAGTTAGTCTTTTACACACCTCCCTTGTTCACCTCCACCAGTAGGATCGCTCCATTTTCATTTTGTCCTCTTTTTCTATCACTTTGTCTATCAATTTCAATAATCAGCCCTCTGAGCATTCTATTCTCGAGCGAGACAGAGGATAAGTTCGGAGTCCAATGCTACTTTCTGCTTAATGATCACGGATGAGCGGTCGTTGAAAGTACGATCGGACAAAAATGATGACTGGTAAATGTTGGGTTGAGAACTTTGCCAGGCGAGTTTTTTCTATGCATCCCAGATCGAGTGCAGTACGTGTATCTGCAGGGTACAACAATATGGCAAAGCAGGAATCGCCAGATATTTTCATTAGATCAGGGAAACCAGGAGAACGTCGAGGAATTTTTGAGAATGACTGGAAATTTGAAAGATTTTGAGACATGAAACCTGCAAATACATGAGCGCTGTCCATACAATCAAACCGAGTCTCAGCTTGGTTCGAGGTTTAAATGCTCTGCACGAATTAACCCCTGAATAGTGAGTTGAGGAACAAATTTCATTGAGGAATAAATCGCAATTCGACGGTGAAACTCCCAAACCTTGTATCCCGTTTGCAGTGTTTAAAAATCTCCGAACCTGTTTTATTTTTTCAAAAGGAGGATTAATCAACATTTCCTCTTCAGATTTTCTCAGTTTTTGCCTCGCACATCAGAGAGGAAAAATCACAGAAGTATTAAAGAATGGGAGTTGAGTAGTTCTTTGTTTAAAAAATCAAGCGCGACAGGAAGTCTGCAACGTCGTAAACCGAGATACGTGGTTTGGTAGTTTCACCATTAAATTGTGGTTAGTGGAATGATTAATATCTAGGGGGGAAAAAAGGTTCATATGTTTCTATCATTTGCAATGAAATTAATGCCAAAAAATTTTCACTTGCGATTGTGCACGTACAAGTTGTTAATGTGAAAAATCAGAGAATTCCCAGAATTTTAGTCAGAGAAACCCTGAGAAAGTAGGGGAATTTTTCTCCGCCGAGTCTATTGATGCCCTGTAAGATCCATGTCTCTGTGAGGGACTTTAGAACCGATGGCCAATTTGAGCGAGTTTCTTTACACCTCGCAAAGAATGCTTTTTGTGCAAATTCGATAACGCTTCCATTGCCGGCGGAGGGGCGGGGATCGCTGAGTGTCGTATCATTTTTCCCGGCAGGGATTTTAATTTTAAAGCCAAATAAGAGCTCGCGTCGCGCAGATGACAAGAATGATAAAATATAAATTAAAGGCGACGAGACAAATTGCCCGGGCGCGCTGGCGTGAAAAATTCCCGCGTTTAATCTCTTTTAGAGGAAAAAAATAAGGGCGCTTCATGAGATTAGTCGGAAAGAATTAAGGTTCTTAAGATCCAGATCCGTGACTGAGTAATAGGAGAATAAATCAGGAGCCGAGATCTTATGACTTCTCATTCTTAAATTCGCCCCTTTCACGCCCGGCTGGACTCATCGACATTTTCGTTCCGGGAGTCTTGCAGTTGCAGAAATAACCTCTCGATATTTTTGTTTCAAGTCCAGTTGCCGAATTGTAATATAAAAACTCTCCTTTTTAGAGAAAATACCCACCGAAACATGACCCGAGCCTGTAATTAATATGATGTTAGAATGGTGCTCTGTCAGTGTTTCTCTCACTGTTAAAGGGAAATCAAAGCCAGCGGACTGGCCGATGAAATTGATAGACAAAGCGATAGACAAAGAAGACTTAGGGAATATGGAGCGATCCTATTGGTTGAAACGTTTGGCTCCCATAGACTGTGGAAGAAATGATGGACTAATTATAGGGTCTCTCGTTGGCTCCGTCCGTTAGTCTATTATCTTCCTTATTGCAACCACCCGCTTTCATTAATAGGATCCTCTCAGATCCTTTTTGTCTTCTTTGCCTATAGTTTTGTCTATCAATTTCAACAATCAGCCCGCAAGAATAACCGGTATCAGTCTATCAATAGGACCCCAGCAAAGCGGCTCCAATGCAACTGTCTGCGGTCTGATCATTGAAATTGATAGACAAGGCTATAATTAAAGAAGAATAAGGGAACATGGAGCAATCCTATTGTTAGAAACAAGTGGTTGCACTGGGCAATGTAGATAAGTAATAGACTAACGAAAGGCAACCGATAAGAGACCATATATACTTGGTCCATCATTTTCCCCGTAGTCTGTAAAAACGACCCATTTCCATTGGGATCGCTCCAAACTCCCTAAGTCTTTTTATCTATCACTTTGTCTATCAATTTTAATAATCAGACCGCAGATAGTTCGCAGAACGCTCTCTGCCCTGCTTTATTCTTCTCAGTTAGTTCATTTTAACTCTAATTCTAATTTCTTTCTGACTTTGAATGGCCCTCAAAACATTTCTGTTTTTCAGTCGCAACAAATGGGAAAACTTTACAAGAAAGCTTGAAAAATTGATACTAGTAGAGTTATGCTAATTTTCGATGAATATAATTCATCAGTTGTAAAATTTTGGAAGGGCCATAAAACTTCTCACCTTGTGTCCTTGAAAATGCCAAATTCCACCCTTTTCTTCTCTTCTCTAATCTGTCTGAAAATGCCTCAATTTGCATCTAAAAAGGGTTTTTATTGCAGCTTTTGGAGGAGGCCCCCCGGACCTCCCTTTCGATCGAAAATCTGCATCCTGCCCGCTAGCCTGATTGTTGAAATTTTGTGTTTGTCGGATGGACATAGATGATTTAGGATAAAAGGCGGAGCGTGATTGGTCGGTTACGTCTTATCGCTGCTGTATCGTACCTTTGTCAGGTGGAACGGACGACTTACTGTCGGAAACTTAAGAGGTGCCGTTAGCTTGTCGTGAGTTCCACCCTACATTGGCACGACAAAGCAGTGATACGACATAGCCGACCAATCACGCTCCGTTTTTTAACCTACGTCATCCACTTCTACCCGACAAATACAAAATTTCAACAATTAGGCCGCTGGATGTGCTTGTGAATTCAACAGTGGGGTTTTTATTTTTCAGGTGCTTCGAAGACAGGGGTAGCGGCGTCGGGGGCTGAGGCGGAGGGATGTGATGAGAAGGCCCTCGCAGTGTGCGGCGGAAACGGGTCGGCAGCCAACGAGCCAGTCTGCGCTTCGGACCTGGTCACCTATCCGAGCGAGTGCGAGATGGTCCGCCGAGCCTGCACCGCCCAAAAACGACCCCTTCCCACCGTCCTCTACTACGGCGACTGCAAAGAAAAGTTTGCCCTTGGACCCTCCTCTTTGAGTAAGTTCACCCGAGCATTATTAATTAGTCTCCTAATAAAATGAGAGAGACTGAATTTATAGGAAGCGTCCGGGGTTTGCGATTTGCCGATCGTGAGAAAACGCCTTCAAACAGTGAAGTAGGCAGCACCGCATTGTCACTCAGTTCAAATAGTTGCATCCCCTGATCAGTCGATTGCTGAGTATATTCCTTTATCTCTCCGTGGCACGTTCATTTCTTCGTAGTGGTGCCAATTTTTTTAGGCTTTCAAAGATGTCAAGATCAAACTCGCCTCGAAATGATTTAGTGTTCTACTAGTGTTTTTACTGAGGGGAAATACATAATTTCCTTATTTTATGTGTTTATTAATATAAATTACAGGGACCAACCCGGCAGTACAATCTATAGTAAGACGACATATTTGTATGGACGGATTAATCTACTAAGTTAATTTACGAGTTGTAATAGTGTACAGCTTTCCTTTCATTTACGTTTATTCTGGAGCGTAATTTTAATATTACTTTTTGAAAGCAAATATTATAAATGTGGGTATGAAAATGCGATCAAATAGATTTTAATCAGTTTTGAGCTGAAAATTGTCTAACATTCTGACTATTAGAGTAACATCATTGTATGGTTAATTCTATCAATACCCCTCAAAATAAATCAATAGAATGGATCATTATTCAATTACTTTCTGGTGATAAAGCTCATTGTGCCATGGTATTTGTTTTAATAAAGCCATCAGCATTCGATCTTCTGAAAAATTTATACTTTAAAGCTTACAGCTTTCAGGCGTGTTGTTTGATAAACTTTCGCAAAGTGGAAGAACGTAAAAGTATCTTTTAGATAGAGGAAAGTTTTAACGACTCCTTAATCTTTTTTTTTATATAAAACTTAAAGGCACAGTGAACTTCTAAATGTTGATAATCATCGATGCGGTGTGCAGAAAATTGAAAGTAAAACAAGAAACAGACCTTCTGGTTATATTTTGCTTGAAAGTAACGAGCTGTGAGCTGCGTAAGAGCTTTCTTCCTCGTTTTATTATTCTTTTTGGTGTATTTTCAAAAGTAAAAAAGAAAGGAACTTCTCTCTTCGGCATGACAGTAGAAACTACATCATATTTTTTTGAACAAGGTTCTTTTTCAAGTTTTTTTCCTGTCTAAATGGATGCAAGACACTTTTTGGAGGCAATAATGATTTTTTTTTTTTTTTTTTTTTTTTTTTTTGAAACAAACCTTAAGTCATGTGTCCTACGCTGAGAAGGTACAAAATAAACCTAGCTATGCAAAGATCTATAATCCATCAAACATGCTTTAAAGAAATTTGATCTTTTGTCGAGATCGCGCAGTCGTTAAAAAGTCAACAATCGCCTGAATCCAATTTTCAGAACTGACTCGCCCTTTGAAATAAGTAGGCAAAAAAAAAAAAAAAAAAAAAAAAAAAAAAAATGACAAGGTACGATGTTGTTAACGGAATCAGATAACATCAAATTGATGAATTTTGCCATTCTTATTCGTGTTCATCCAAACAAAAACTGAGCTTCCCAGTTAGCTATAGATACATGTCCCTAATTAGCGTGGCTCCTAGAACATAAATCTAGAGCCCCAAATTTACCTCCTGAAGAAAGAAAGAATTTCACCGTCCATTCGATCAAAATAATGCCAGACAACTTTTAAATTCTCACGTAGCTTCATCGAATTAGGAGGGTGTAGCATAGTTGTCATGTTGCTTCTTAGTAAAAAATTAGGGCTTGTCTCCTTGTAATTCAACGTGAAGTCTGTAAATTTCATCGCACAATCTAGTAAATCTGGTTTATACAGCAGTCTTGCGCGGGCCGAACAACATTCGTGAAAGAACAATCCGTATACTGCCGTGCTAAGGAAGAACGCCGTTTGAGCCTTTAGGCGTTGCCAAATTTCTTTTAATAAATCAGAAATTTTCGAGAAAATTTGTGAACGTTTTTCCTCCAATTTTTCAGATAATTTCGTTCGCAATTTCACCTATATTTCCTGAAAATTCCAAGGAAAAATATCCATAGCTTTCTTCAAAAATAAACATTTTATCGAAGGAAATTTGGCAACTCTCGAATGTTCATACGGGGTTTTTCCTTAGCACGGCAGTATAGGGCCCGATCGCAATTACTCTTTAAGAGTCCTCGAGTCGGTAAAGGGCTGAAAGGGAGCGCATTGCGAGGGGGTTGAAAAATGGCGATCCATATGGAAATTAAAACGTCTGTCGGTGTGTTATTGTTCGACAAAAACAGCGTTTGGATCGTCATATTCGAGTCGGCTGTGGACTCATCACCGAGAAAGGAGGTAATTGCTGCACTTAAAAGTTAATTCCTATCCGAGTAAACCCCTTCAAAGTTTCGTCCCCTCCCTGGTCCCTTTCCACTTTTCAAAAGAGCCTCGTTGTCACGCTGGGTGAAAAGTCACCGAATTTATTCACACACCGGGGGGGGGTTATTCGTTGTGGACTTAACACGCTGGACTATGATCGTAGCTTTAATATTAGGAGGAAAGATGAAATTATCTCCCATGGAAAGAACGTAATTAGTATTGTGCTAGTCGACTTTGTTATGAATTGAAGAATTGTTTGACTCTTGGGGTTTTACAAAACCACATGTCTTTGATTAATATTTAACATTAAGGCTTAAGATTTCACTCTAAGGATTTGGGTTCTTGTTTGCTGAATTCAATTAAAATACGTTTCTAATGTAAGCAGAGTGCCCCACGAGAATATTGTCAGTATTTTTTCACAATTAACTTCGGAATTGGACGTCCTGTAGAGAGAAATTACGGAAAATAAAGAATTCTCCAATGTATTAGCTAAAAAAACCGTTTTGCCATGGCAATAGGAAAATAATATAAGACTTTCAGAAGTAAATAAAAATTCATCTTATGAATTATTTCCCGCTCGTCCGAAAAGAAGTAAGTAGAAAAGGGAAGAAAAAAAGGAAGAAAGGAACGGAGGAAAGAGGAAAGAAGAACACTCATATCCGATAATTATTCATGACAAAATTGACTCAAACTGCAAATTGGATGCTTAAAATGTCAACAATTTTCTGGGGGAAGCGCGATGTTGAACTCCAAGCTTGCCTCAATACTCCATCTGTGGTTACTTTCGGTTTCGGTCCCTGTCTCTATTCTCTATTGGCCGCCTGTGACCGATGGGCAGTAGGATATTTTGTTGATTGTCTCCAGTCGGAGTGGGAACAGCAGTCGACTTTCACCCCATTTTAAATTTTGCCCCCCCCCCCTCCCCCGAAAAAGAAAAATTGATCAATTTACTCTCTACGTCAACCGTTTTGCAACGCTAATTTTTGCGGCAATTAAATGCCTTTGTCAACTTGGCAACAGCGTAGCTATCCTTTTTTCCTTTCAACTCAGCGTAGGAGTCCGTCTATCCCTTCAGATTACTCGGCTATTTATCGATGATGTTTTATTATGTCACTTGCCGTAATGGCTGCGTTTCGAAGGTGTCTGCTTTATGACGTTTTGTGTCCGGTTTGAGGAGACAATTAAATCGTTGAACATTAAAACCTACAATGTTCACCATTTGATAAAATGTATGAAGCTCATAAGGATATACCTTCAAAGGCTCATCATTAGACAATAAATTCGACGCGGTTTTAACACCCACTAATTCAATTCGACGATTCCTCCAGTACTGCTGACGGTGCGCAAATCAAGTCAAGAAAGTTCAATTTCAATCCTAGACTTTGAATAGGATTGCACTGCGTGAAAAGAAACCAAGAGCATCTCAATACTCCCATAAATAATTGAGCAGCCTCTTTTTTGTCTTATGAAATCTAAAAAGTTGATCAGTTTGTATCCGTTTAAATCCCAAAAATTGTCAAGTAAAATAGGAAATCACCTCGTTGATGCGATCAATTGGCTTGCGTGTATTCAATCGAAAATTAGCTTGTAAAATGTACACGGGAAAACATAAATTGCTGATTTAGCAAATAAATTGTTGAAATTATGTCCGACATGTTTCAAATGTACATTTTACAATAGGGGAAAGCTAACTTAACCACTGGGATGGTTGAATTAGCATTATTTTACTGTAAAATCTACATTGAAACGCGTCGAACACTTTTTTAAACCACAAAATTTTTAAATCAGCAATTTCATTTTTTCTGCGTAATTTTATAAGTACATTATCATTCATTACCTCAAAACAGATCGGTTCAAATCTAACAGTCACAGGCCATTAAATTGACTTTATCATACTTATTTTCAGTGCAGATAAGAAAAAAACGTTGTGAGGGTAGCCCGCGCCCCATAGAAAACGAAGAGGTCTCACGTCGGCCGAAGATGCAACCCGTAATATAGACTTTCACTAACCGGACGGCTGGTATATTGACAGAAAATGTCGCGAAGAAACCCTCAATCCCGACAGTTATTACCAAAAACCTAAATTATATACTCCGCCAACAAAACCAAAAGCAGTCTCTCCAAAACGAACCGAGGAAAACTTATGAGCGAAAAAAAGGGTCTGCGACGACGAAAATTGCGAAGGATGTACGCTTTAATCTCTTGTTTTTAGTACGTACTTAACCGTTCTTCTTTCTTTTATATCAATTCGCGTACTTCATTAAAAGTCGCTCAGTTTAAAACAATTTAGAAACTTCCCCCGACGGAGTTCTGAAAAGTTGAGGCAACTTTTTTAGCGTTTAACCCGCTTGTACTTTGATAATAAGAATGGGAAATTTAATTTTTCGAGTTCACCTCATCTTTCCGGCGCTTGGCGCTTCTCGCCGATAGTTTCGTGAACCGCAAGGCTTCTTGTCCTCTCGCGTCCAGAACTTTTACAAACGGTAATGCTTCGTAACTAGTTAAACCGCATGTGAAATTGTTTATAAAGTTTTTGATGACTCCAGATTCATTGTTTTACCCTAGTGTGATTGAAATACATTGTACACTGTTAACCAGACGACAACGCATTGTGAATCGTATGATGGAGAGGAAAAAGAGAAATCTTTGGCGAGGAACAGGAAAAATAAGGAAAAGAAA